TAAAGTCGTAAGAGATGTCATTTACTATTATAAGAATATAGTTTTTTATATTGTTACAAATCCTTTATGAAGTACTCTATAGTAGATGTTAACTAAATTAGAGATGAGTATTTTTATGAATAATTATTTTCTAATTTAACCTGAATTTGTTGTTATTTTTTAAGGAAATTGCAAAATATATCTTATGTATTTTGGACAATTTGATTTAGTTTAACATTAAACTGAAATCAAACTTTAAATCTTGGGCCAAATGACAATCTTTTGCAAGTTATTTATTTTTTTGTTGTTGTTCTGTTAGTTATATGTTGTTGTGTAACATATTACCCCAAATTTAAAGGCTTAAGACAACAAATGGTTATTATTTCACAATTTCTATGCAGATTCTTATCTGGGTAAAGCTTAGCTGGGTGCTTCTGGTTCATGGTCTCATAAGGTTACAATCCAGGTATCTGCTGGGGCTATATTCTCATCTGAAAGCGTGGCTGAGGGACAGTTTATTTTTAAGCTCATTCGTGTAGCAGTTGGCAGGATTTAGTTCTTCGTATGGAATTGTTTTACTAAGGGCCTCTACCCATGCTTGCCGTTGGCAAGAGGCCTCCAAAGTCCCTTGCTACATGGGCCCTCCCATAGATGAGCTTATAATGTGACAACTAACTTCCATCAAAGCAAAAGAGCAAGGAAGCAAGAGAAGCATGCAGAATGGAAGCCACTATCATTTTTAAACCTTTCCTTGGAAGTGACATTCTATCAGTTTGTTATATTCTGTTCATTAGACGAGAGTCACTAAATCTAGCTTACATTCAACAAGAGCGAATTACATGAGTGTGAATACAAGGAGGTAGGACTCATTAGAGCATGTTAGAAGCTTTCTACCACACTTGTTTAGGACTCTTTTGAATTTCTTACACATAGAAAGAAGAAACTTAAAATGAACCTACATTTGGTAAAATCACTTAATGTTGTTAAAGAAGACACAGTAAAGGGATAGTATTTTGTTTCTTTCAGAAAGTATATTGTTTTATTTGTTCAAAATAGATAACTCAGAATTTCTCTATCTAAATCTCTTACTTATTTTTATTTTACCCATTTATTTTGGGGGACATGGTTTCTTAGAGGGTTAAATTTTTGTTTCTAATGCCTGTGCCATTTTTTCTAAATGTAGTGCTGGATCTGCTTAAAGTCAATTGAACATTTATTTATAGGTCAGAAAGCCCTAGGGAAGTATTTCACTTCACCATGAATATACTTTTGAGATCATTAACTCAACATGAATACACCTTCAAGATTATGACTTGAAACTTCTCAGTGAACTGCTGACTGTCCCTTAGATTTCTAACACGCAGAAGGTTGTAGTAACTAAACTGCATTTCAGGGTCAAGAGAGAAACATCTCTAACTGTGCTTAGTCTAAATTCTCTGTGATAGAGACTAGAAAAATCATTAATATGCTTACATTTGTTTTCTCAATAATTATTTATTTTCCATATGAACATTTTAAATTTGTACAAAAGGGAAGACTATCAAGCTGGAGACCTAGTGATTTTATTTAAAAAGTGATATATGAATTCCTTTTAGCTTGACATGAGTTCTCCTGTGCTCCAAGTTCTCTTCAACAATCCATTAAAATTTTCTCTGGCAGAGTCATATTAATAGCCTTTGTCCTGCCATTAATGTGACCTAATCACTATGGCAAGGAATCCCAGAACCAAACCAGCCATCTATAAAATATGACTATCCAAACTGGAGCTTCATTAGATTTAGTGCTTGTCTCATGACACAGCTTCATAATTTGAATTCAGAGGTTCCCAGACATTGCATTCTGTGACTTGATACCGCTAAATGCTCATCAGTGTGCCTTAATCTGTCTAAAATATTTGTAATGAGCCGAGATTTACATCCCTGGGAATTAACACTTAGGAAGGCCAATGACTTCTTTCATTATTCATCACTTCTTGCCTCCCATTAGCACGATTAAGAGCTATTCCACCCCAAATGATGAGAATAGTTTCAAACTATTCAACAATGTGGATTGAACAAAAGAGTTGTTAATTTTATTTGACATAGATTCAGAGGATTGTGAGGCTTGTATATCTATCACATTTTGGGTGATAATTTTAAAAGTAGATATAAATGGCCATAACTGCAAAAATTATTCTTTTGCTAACCAGAACAAATTGTAGTAGAATGATATTGATAGCTAAACTGCCCTGTATCTTAGTATGAAACTGAAATTGAGGTAAACTCCACATATTTTATTAATTCTGCTCATTTTCTATTCATATAATCATATCTGTTCTATGTTTTCCCTTCACATCTTCCATGATTATGTGTGAAAGTAATTTTCTCTTTTTTTAATGAGAGGTATATGATCAGAATTTCTTTGATGTTGTTCCAATGCTTTCAGAAGTATCCGTTAAGGATTGTTATTCCCTGGAATGCATTTAAGAAGCATGTATTTTTTATATTCTCCCTCCCTCTCTCCTCTCTTGCCATTTAACTTGTTATTTCCTGGAATTTATAACTTACAGTGAGTCCATTAGCCTGAACTTTATTACTCTTTCAACTCCTGACATTTAAAATTCTTTTCACTTGGTTAAAAAAAATGGTGAAATTGAGTGAAGTGGAGAGTCTGATAAGGCTAGCTTTGTGTGTGTGTGTCTGTGTGTTTGTGGTTGGATTAATACATTGGATAAACAGGGAGAAATGACTGGAGAATGAGATGTTGAGTTCTTGGAACTGAGATTTCAAATAGTGTATTTGGTGGTGGTGGCAAGGGCTAGTTTACCAAGAAAGTGAGTATCTGAGATGATGGTGAGGATATACAGAAATGGAAGAGTCAGAGATGTATCTATATTGATGTAAAAAAAAAAAGATGGAAAGCTAATATGAGTAAAAGAAGAGGGAAAACATCATGAAGTAAGTGTAAAAGGCATCAGTAAATTAGGAAGTTATTAAGTAATTAGGAGATGAGAGCAATATGCCAAGGGAGACATTGGTATATCTGGTGGTTTATAATGACTATATATATAGTACAGAACATTTTTATTCCTACCACTCCTCTTATTAAAACAGAAATTACTGACTCTATTATTTCCTGTGTTGCTCTCACAGGCATTTCTTATTGTGTTACACTGTCACATTTTGCTTTACAATTATTTTAGGCACATTTTAAGTATGGGCTAACACCCATACACAGAACTTCACAGAATGAAAAGTGGAGGACGATAAATTATTTACACAAAGGGTTTTACTGGGCTTTATTATTTTAGTAAGAAATCAAATCCTTTTGGTAATTGTGATTTTCATAACTAATTGGCCTTTGGATTCCCAAATCTTTGCATTTTACATTGCCTGTCTAGCCCCAAACTCACCAATCCAATTCAAGTCCTCTGTGGATATTAACCATGTAAGATTAATTACCTTAAACCCCCCAAATGAAATGAATTCAATGACATTTACTGTACCATTCAGACATTTACTCCTTTTCATCAATCTTATATTGCTTCTTGAATCACAATTAAAACCTGTAATAAATAAAGATGCTGAAAGTTTCAAGCAGGAATTCTTAATGATTTAACATTTAGGTCTTTGTCAGTGCCCAAAAACAAGTTGGGAAGTAAATTCTGCACACTGAAAGAAGCTAGACAGAAGTCTTCGTATTTCTGTGGTCTGTAATTCTTTTATAACGGGTCTAAAAAATAGAGAGTTTAGAGAGATCAGCAGTCTTTATAAACAACACTGATCTTAATTAAGAAACATCAGTAGAAGAGTTTACTACTGAGGGAAAAAAGTGGAATGGTCTTATATGTTATTTCTGTATTTAGGGTTGTTAATGATCTGTTACTGATGGCATTTAGCACCTTATTATCCTCTTAAAAGAGCTTAACACCAGTGGGAAACTTGGAGGAAAAATCCAAGTAGACTAATTTAGCACAATAATGCAATATAATTTTTTTGTTACTTTCCTCTTTTCTTGCTTCCCTGTTTCTTTTCATTATTTTTAAATAAAAAATGGGAATTACCAAGAACCAGTATCTTTCTTGACTGGTATAAGTTTAAATCCCATTATCACAAGCAAAAGTTTGTTAGTAACCCTAATGCTAACACACTTATTAGAAAATACCTTCCCTATAGATTCTAGATTTTTAGAATTATGTTTAATTTCAAATTCTAGTCTTAAGAGTAAAAGCCAGCATTGACAACAACATGCCCATCTCCAGATTAGAGCAGAAAGAGGGAGCATCCAAGAAATTTATTTTGTAGTATTCATCCACCTATACTTTTCATTAAAAATTGATGGCATTATGAATGGAAAATTTTGACTTAATGTGAACTTCAAAAATGACATAAAAATAGAAAACAAGAGTCAGTGTAGGAAGAACATTAAATCATCTGATGGTCTGTTTCTCATAATCACTACTTAATGAATACACAGAAGTAATGGTAAATATTGTAAAAGCTGAATTACTTGTTTCACAAGTTAGTCTCCGTAGCAATTAAAAATAAAGCTTATTTTACCTTAGATTAGCAAAACTGTATGGGAGCCTAATGATTCAAAGAAGTCACCTGATAGTCTTCTAACTTATTGGTACTTTTTCCAATTCTTTGGAATACTTGCATTGTTATAAAGTAATGTGAAGTGTATGATTTATATCTTGCCAAGATAGAAATGATGAGCAGAAAAAGAAAGCTAAATGAATATGTATGATTTTATAGATTATTATTATTATTAAATCTATCTGATCTACTGTGTCTTCTAAGGCCAGTATTTCCCTATTGATTTTTTTGTCTAGATAATCTGTTCATTGATGTATGTGGGGTGTTGAAGTCCTATGCTATTTTTGTGTTACTGTCAGTTTCTCTCTGTTAGTACTTGCTTCATGTATTTAAGTGCTCCTTAAATATTGGATGCATGTGTATTTACAATTGTTTTGCCTCCTTCTTGGATTGATCCCTTGATTATTATGTAATGTCTTTCTTTGTCTCTTACTACAGTGTTTTTTTAACACACTTATTGTGGTATGGTTCCTGTATAGTAAACTACACATATTTCAAATGTACGATTTGATGAATTTTTATAGATGTTTACACCAGTGAAACCAACACCACATTCAAGATAGCTGACATTTCTATCACTCCCCAAGAGGTACAGTCTTTGTTTTAAAGTCTTTTTCTTCTGATTATAAATATCACTAGCCTGGCTTTCTTTTGATTTTTTATTTGCATGGAATACGTTTTTCCATCCCTTCATGTTCAGTCTTTTTTTTCTGAGATCTGAATGAATCTCTTGTAGGCATCATATGTACGGGTCTTGTCTTTGTATTCATTCAGCCACTCTATATTTTTTGATTGGAGCATTTAGTCCATTTATATTTAAAATAATTATTGATATGTATGTTCTTATTGCCATTTTATTAGTTGTTTGGGGTTATTTTGTAGTTCTTTTCTGCTTTTTTTGCTCTTTTTCCCTTGTGATTTGATGGCTTTGTTTAGTGTTATATCTAGATTCCTTTCAATTTTTTTTTGTGTGTGTATCTATTGCAGAGTTTTGGTTTATGGTTACCATGAGGTTTACATATAGCAATCTATGTATATACATGATTATTGTAAGTTGCTGATCTCTTAAGTTCAAACACATTTTAACAACCCTGCATGTTTTACTCCTCCTCCCCTCCCCAATATTTACTGCTTTTTACATCCTATTTTTTACCTCTTTTTGTTTTGTGTATCCCTTAACTACATATTGTGGATATAGAAGATTTTAACACTTTTGTCTTTTAGCATTCCTACTAGCTTTATATATGATTGATTTGTTACCTTTACTATAATTTGCCTTTACCAGTGAGATTTTTCCTTCGTAATTTTCATATTTCTAGTTGTGGCCTTTTTTTTTTTTTTCTCTGAGAAGTCCCTTCAATATTTCTTATAAAGCTGGATGGAGGTGCTGAACTCTCTTAGCTTTTGTTTGTCTTTAAAATTTTTGATCTCTCCATTAAACCTGAATGAAATACTTGCCAGGTAGAGTATTCTTTGTTGTAGATTTTCCCTTTTCATGACTTTAAATTATCATGCCTCTCCTTTCTGGTCTGCAGGGTTTCTGCTGAAAAGTCAGCAGAAATTGCCTTATAGGAATTTCTTGTACGTAACTTGTTCCTTTTTGTTTTTCCCTTGTTGCTTTTAGTATTCTCTCTTTATCTTTTTTTTCCCTTTCCTTTCCTTTTTTTTCCTTTTAATTTCCATTTTAATTACAGTGTCTCTTTTTGTGGTGCTCTTTGGGTTGATCCTGTTTGGGACCTCCATTCTTTTTACACCTGGCCATCTGTTTCCTTTCCCAGTTTAGGGAAGTTTTTAGTTGGTGTCTTCAGATATTTTCTCTCCCCTTTCTCTCTCTCTTCTCCTTCAGGGACCTCTATAATGGGCATGTTAGTAGTCTTAATGTTGTCTCAGAAATTTTTTAATCTGTCCTCTTCTTCTAAAATTCTTTTTTCTGCATGGATTTTTGTTTTAGCTATAACAAATGCTTTTTAAAAATTTTTTTCCTGACTTTTTGATTTAAAGTCTATACATAGGAAGTTAGACCCATATGTCAGAATAAATTGTTCTGTCACCTCGTTTCCCATATACATTCTCTGTTATTTAGGTGAGGACTTTTTTTTAAAATAAAATCAAGTGTAAATGTAATTATCAATTTAGCATGATAAGTTCATCAAGTTCTGCTCCTAGTGGGGTGCAATATTAGCCTGTGAAGCCTTTGTTGTATTTAAAAGCCTTTCACTCCAAAGAGAGTGGAAATCTAAGAAATGTAAGAATTCATGTCACTATAAATAAATGGATGAAACCATAAAGATCTTTATAATCTTGATCTCAGGGAAAGAATCCAGGATGGATGGGACCAGGACAGTTGGATAGAAAACCAAAATAAAACCAAAATAACTTTGTATTGTACCTGGAGAATAGAGAAGACAAAAAAAAAAAAAAGAATTAGAGAGAGAGAAGAAAAGGGACACCCATCTGAATTCAACTGTGGAAGAACTTCATGAAAACAAGTTAAGAAATGTTTTGTGTGATCTGTACTCTAGGTTAATACTAGGAACTGAGTTGCGTCCCTCCCCCAAATTCACTTATTGAAGCCCTTACTCACAGAGTGATGGTGTTTGGTGATGGTGCCTTTGGGGGACAATTAGGTTTAGTTGCGGTCAGGAGGGTCAGAAACTCCTGATGGTATAGGGGTACTTATAAGTAGAGACAGCAGAGAGCTTGTTGGTCTCTCTCCTTACAATGTGAGGACGCAGCAAGAGGGTAACCATCTGTCAGCTGGGAAGTTAGCTCTCACCAGAACCTGATTATGCTGGCATCTTGATCTTGGATTTCTAACCTCTAGAACTGTGAGAAAATAAATTTCTGTTGTTTAAGTCACCCCATCTATGGTATTTTATTATGGAGCTTCAGCTGACTACAACAATCCATGGCAAGTTAAGATTTTTTTTGGTAATAATATATTACAGTCATTGTGGGAGCATACATAAAATAACTTACAGGGGCCACCTGATAACTTTGACACTTCAGTGTTTGAAAGTCATCAGGCTCTGTGATTTTGATTTAGATTTGCAGGCCAGTTCAGCTTCTGTCTGGTAGGGTAAAAGTGAATTAAAAAAAGAATCCATAGGACTACTTCCAGTCATTTAATAGGACATGTTTATTGAGTGCCTGCAAGGTACCAGACACTATCGTGGACACTGGAGATCCAGGGAGCACAAACAACCCAAATCCCTGCCCTTACAGAGTTAACATTGTAGAAAGAGGATGCACGCAATAAACTGAGCAACAAAATCTTCCAAGTATAATAGATGTTGACATGTTATATTAAGAAAGATAAAACAGGAATTTGGATAGCTGAAGATGGTATTCAATTTTAAAGAGGGTAGTCAGAGAAGTTATCAATGAAAAGGTACCATTAGAACAAAGATCTGAAAGAGCTTGAGGACAAGCCATACAAAAATGGGGGAAGGGCCCAGACATAGGGAGCCACAAGGACAAACGTTTCAGGACAAATATATAGACATAGTAGTAATGTGTGTGTATATTTGAAAACAAGCAAGGAGCCCAGTGTTGCTGGAGCAGAGTGAGGAGGAGAGAATGAGAGAAAGGTTTCTGGGTATGTGCATGATGGGAGAGGGCAAGAGGTTAGAAAATTGGCTGTGTTAATACTTCTGTGTTGAATATTCAGAGGAATGCTAATTAACCAAACTCAAATATAATTACATATAGTCACAATCACCAGACTGTTAATTTCTAGAAAACTTTGCAAGAGAAACAGGGGTTTTAACAGTTTTCTGCTGACAGTTTTTTAACAGATGGTTATTTGGTTAACCTGAAGCTCAGATTCCAGATGCTGCATTTTAAATAGACAAGAAGGCTGCTAATTGAGCAAAACCTTTAAGCTCCAATCTTTTTGACGAGGCAGGGTAAGCCAGAGTTTACGTTTGAGGCCAAATCTATTCTCTTTGAGGCTCAGGATGGCATCCTCAATCTGTGCAATTTTCTGGCTGTGGTTGATATAAAATGAAGCAAGAATGCACTTTATACAACATAGTCAATATTCTGAATAAAATCAATGTTTTACAGTCACTATTAGATAAAGATTTATTTTTAGCCGTTGGTTATTTATTCTGACTTTTAATATGTATTCAGGGTGTTTCATTGCTAAAAATGATCACTTCTAATTAATATAATTGTTTCAAAATCAAAGTCAGCTTTTTAAACAAGTGTTGGGTTATAGTTAAAATATTTTAAGCATTAAAACACCATTGAAGGAAAAAAGAAACTGGGGAGCTATCTCAGCTGTAAAACCTGAAGAAGATGGGAATATAGTGGAAATACTTTTGATAGGTCTATTCACATGGTTGTTTTAACATTTATCCCTAAAGATGATTTTATTTTTTATCATTATTTTTAAATTTTTACTGGGGACTGAACCCAGGACCTCACACATACTAATAAGCATGTGCTCTACATCCAAACTATACCCACCCCCTAAAAATGATTAAATTGTGCTGTGCTTTATGGGGAGTATCTTACCCAAAATTTCATTCTGGATGATTTTGACTATTATAGGAGTGTGTTCAGCAGAAAATTGGAAAAAGCATTGAGATCACACAATAACTTGGCCATAGTAATATTTTCTGTGGTTTTGGAGAAAGGGGATGGAGACATGCACAGTGCCAGGACAAGGAAGCAGACAGTTAGCCCACTCTATGAACTGTGTCTCAGACTTTGCCTTCAGTGGTTTTATGTATCATTGAGCCTTAATTGTTTTTCATTGAGGCCATTTTAATAACATTCTATCTGAACTCCTTGCCTTTTTCAGTCCATCTTTCACATCACCACAGCATTCTAATTATAGAATTTATCTTAAAAATACTGCAGACTTGTGAATGGTTCTAAAATAAATTCTGGAATGTGACACTAAAACCCAGACCCTTGTGATCTGGCACAGCCTCTCTTTGCAAACTTGGTTTCTCACTGATAGACTCCCACCACATCCCCCATCTTCCAGTAATGTTGACAGGTTTTGTGACCCAGTAACTTTTAATCCTGCCATGAGCTCAGGATAAGTTGCTCTCCCACACTCAAAACCAGGTAAATAATTTGTGGGACCTAGTGCAAAATTAAAATGCAAGCTCCATTATTTAAAAATTATTATGTATTTCACGATCATTAAGTGGAACATCAAACCCAGTATGGAACCCTTCCCAAGTCTGCCTTCTGTCATTGCACAAGTCACATGTCTATGAAGCTGTTGCTTTCTGCACTCGTCATTGACCAAGATTTAATGTTTTAAGGTGTTAAATCATGTGTCTTTGTATGAGAGATCTTCCCCAGTCCTTTAAGTCAAAATGAACCATGTCTCCCAATTACTGTGCTCCAATAACCCATGTACGTAGTTTAATTTGCCTAGTATTCATGTATATGTCAAGAATCTAAAGAAAGGGACTCAATCTTCATCCTTGACTTCTCTTCCTAACCTAGGTGTTTTATGCACAACTGATGAGACAGAAATTACGTCTTAAAGTTTATGTGTCTTCATCAGGGGCCTCCAGAAAACCATGGAATTCATTGCACCAAAGCCTATTTATTTTCTGTGGTTTCCACAGCCTTGGGAATCTGTCCTGACAACAAATGAAATGCATCTATGTCAGTCAGTAGGGAGCCTGCCATTTTCTGCCTTCCTTTCTCACAGTACCACGGACTGGTTTGACACTATTTGTTTTTCTGGTGAGACAGTTGATGTTGTTAGAATGGTAGAAGGAGGAAACAAACATCAAGTCCTGTGGATAAATAAAATAAATGTAGAAAACAAATATTGGATGGTTCTCAAAGGTTGGATAAATCAGCAAATTAGCAGAAAGACTATTACTAATAATATTTATTTTAAAAACTATTTATTTTCTATAAAATATATTTAATAGCATAATACATGCTGCAAAGGACAGTTTGCAAAATCTCAGATTTTATGTATACAATATTGGCATAGTTGGAAGTTTTGCCTGA